CAACTATACGCGATATCCTGATCGGCCATTAAGAAGGAGTGCCTCACTTCAAGAATACAAGGCTGTACAAGTGGAAGCCGGTAGGGTACTGAACATAACCTACAAGCCGAATGTTACCTTCTTCGTGGGAGGAGTTGCAGACTTGCCTGAACTGTCTATTGAAGGCGATCTCGACAGGATGAGGAGGGACATATCAGCCTTTGCCCTGGAGGATTTCAGAGCGAGTAGGGCACCCAGCCTAGTTCCGTCAAGACAACAGTCCCGAGAGAGCACAGCTCCAGCTGGCCCGATCTTGCGTTCATCAAGAGGACGTAGTATCAGCTCAGAGTTAAGTCGACTCCCATCCGGAACTCCTACCGATCCTTACTCCTCTTCACCTCGAGGAACGCCTGTCGGTCCAGGACCGACAATCAACCTGTCAATGCAGCAAACAGCTAGGCCTGGACGTGCTACTGAAGCCCCATTGCATCAGAGACTGAGAAGCAGCAACATCATGCCTCCCAGTTTTCCTGATAGACCTCAGGAGCCTCGTGTGCCTCTATGGAATGAGCTTCATAGCCTTAACCCTATCAGGCCCTCAGTGGGTTCTCCGAACTGGACAGGGTTCGATCATGCTATCAAGATGGATATGTATGAAGCGGACTGCGAAAGGATCCGTCGAGTGAGAATGCAGAATCAGGAGAGAACTGCTGCTGCTGCTGCTGCTCGAGCAGAGTTTGAGAGCAGACGGGGACAGAGAAGAGGTCAGCGTTAGGATCTGTCCAGGTCGTGCCCGTGTTACGAATGGACTGAAGATGGATACTGATACTCCTGCGTTGATTTGAATGATGGCTCAAGCGATAGGGAGAGGCATGAGGGTTGAATTGGGGGGATGGTTCGGTTTGCAGTGTTTCCTTTGGCAGTTTGCGATGAATTCTTTATTTCTTTACTTCATCTCCCTCTGATCAGACCTGGCACACCATTGGACTTGTCGCAACTTTGGAAGAAAGTTGCTGGGGGAGGACTGTTGTGGTGGCCAGGGTGGTAGTCCGTGGGACGTGGAGTACAGTGGGTCAAGGGTCCTCATACATATAAAGGATACCACCCACTTTTCAAATTCTTTAGCTATAAGCAACAATCAAGCATCCTTTTCTCTTCTTTTCAATTTTTGAACCCCTTGGACAGGTCTAAGACAGGTTTTTCACCCTGTTCTTGTGCCCGTGTGGCCTTAGTTTGCTGTCCTCATCTGTACAGGCACGCTTGGGTTGCATGAGCCCTTGCCCATTGCTTCGGCAGCTGTTTGTCCCTTTTTCTTTCGAGGGCGACGGCGCCCTAGTTCTGGTTCAATACCTGCTTCTATTCTGAAAGAAAGATTAGTAAATACTTTTCTTAGAAGCTGTACAGCATAGAGAGATTCTTATATCCGAAGCAGTATACAGAAGCTCTTGATGAATTAGTCTTGAGAAATATTGAGCATCATAGCTCAGAGATGCTAATTATAATAGATATTCGGATAAGCCTCATATTTAGATCTTGGAAAGTATTCAAAAATACTTTCCAAAGTAAAATCAGCTTCTTTCTGCAAATCTGAAGAATATAGTATATTATATCTTGATATCTTAAGTGCAAAAGCTAAAGGGCTTTATAGAAAAAGAAAAAGAAATATTTTTCTTTAGTTATTACTAGAAGAGAATAATAGAAGCAGTTGTACAATTATAAAAAAATTATAAGATTAAGATAAATTAGGCCAGATTCTTAGTAGAACTGTATCATTCTTGAGACTTCAGAAGAAGTTTCTAAGCATATCTTCGTTTCTTTTTAATTTATATCAAGTGCATAGAAATAAATAGAATTCATTAGCTTAACTACTAATCTGTATCTCAATCTGAATCTTGATACTGAATAAAGACTCAAGCGCTGTTATCTATAAAAATAAATAGCTTTTGAGCTACAATAACATAGTTACCAACTCCAAAGCTACCTTCATCTCCTGTATCAAAGTATAGCTAATCACAGAGCATATCAATCTCCTAATCCTAGCATTAATTACCTATACTTCAGCTCTTTCAGTTATTCCAATCTCTATATCTAGAACAGATATTTCATTAAGATATTTCAACTTGAAAAAGATGTCTTTTCGAGAAAAAACATACCAAAATCACCTTCCTAATTGAGCGAAATCTGAACGACGAACGAGAGCCAATCACTTTTATGGGTCACCTTCATGTTCAAATTTCTGCCCATTTTCCCCGCTTTGTCTTAGTCATCAACTTTTTTCCTGCACAGCTAGGATCGATAAGAGACCATTTTAACAAATGGCAATAGGCAGTCATCATTCCTGGAACAACAATGATGGCCTTTGGACCCAGATCAGTGCCCCAAGGACGGCTGCAAAGGCCAAGAAAAGATTCATATGGCTGCGCCGTGCGAATCTAGGGACTGCCCTCCGTTGCTGCTTGGCGACACCGTCGACGGAGAACCTCGCAATATCCAGGTTTTTCGATCGCCATGCTAGCTACGAAAAATACATGTTCGATGACACAACCATGATACATAATCTGTGGGAGACAGAACTTCACTTGAGCTTCTACCTTCTGGTTGAATCCAGGGGAAATTCCGCTGAAGGCATTCCTAATTACAGCGGAATAGGTTTGCCAGGAGCACACGGCAAACAAATCACTAGAGCATCGGTGGGGTTTCGCTTTCATGGGGATTTCTTCGATCGTTACTGGACCTGTCACTTCATCGAATACATAGCAACTCCGCCGCATGATGTAAGAGACGACATTCCTCGGGATATACCCCTTCCACAATATTGGCACCACAAGAAACATGGACAGAGGAAGGTTCTGGAAAATCAAATTTTCAACCGGATCCTTCAGAACGTGACGACTCAGACTCGAAAAGTCGTCGGGGAGATTAAATCAGTACTTGGTATTCATGAGGATTCAACCGTCATCGATTCATTTACCCTAGCTAGTCGCGACTACTTTTCAAGTAGCAGCCTCTGGGAGGGTTTTCGTCCCATTCTTCACCTGATTAATGAGGATATTGACTCGACACTTGCTATAGTCTCCAAGTGGTCGACCCGGGAGGCCAGACGTGAACAAGAGAGACCCAGGTGGACGAGCAACGATGAAGGAAAATACCGCGCATTCATTCAGAAAGAAATCAGGACCACCACTGAAATCATCAATGAGCTTGAAGCCATCCATAAGGGAGCCCAAGCACTTGAAAAGTCTCTCGATGACAGTTTCGACAGGTGGCGCGAGCAGCTAGTCTTCTCCGACAACCAGCACATCATTTCCTTCACTTATGTCACAGTCGTCTTCCTTCCCCTGGGTTTCGCCGCAAGTATGTTCAGCATGAGCGGGCCTCCAGACAGGCTTCTCGTTGGCAACATGGCAATATGGGCCGGAGTGGCTCTTGGTATAACCCTCCTGGTCTTGGCTTACGCTGATGGCATCATTGCGTTAGTAAAATTATTGCGAAAGCCACTTGTAGGCCCCGGAGTCTTCATCAGGTCTGTCCTGATGACAGTGGCACACAACAGTCACTCACCTCCAAACAGCCATGCAGAGACACCTGCAAGCTTGTCCGTGAATGACAATAGCTTTGCATCTGGAAGAGGCGAACAGTACAGCACTAAACTCTCGGGAGATTTGCTAGTGTAGCCTGCCCATTTGTTCTTCGGGCTACCTATGCAAGTGCTTGTGCGTGGCTTTGAGCTACTGCACGGAAAACCAGAGAATTCCGAGGAGGATCAACGGTTCCGGGTCGAGGAAGGCAGTCAAGATTTTCAATGAATAATTTGTGCTCGGCAGCCTGGTCTTTCGAGTTCTATCAGCTGTTGTTGATTACATGGCGCGTTTATTTTGTATATGTCAACGGGGGATTTGTCCCAATACATAAAAGGTATGGCTCCTTCATTATTTTTTACCCAACAAGTTAATCCGGATCTTAGACAGGTGTTGCTGACCATCACAGAGCGGATTCCACAGCCTCTTCTGAGGGATCAACTGGCTCAATCGGATCGCTGCGATGCTAGTACACTGTTCGCTTGACGCTAAACTCTTCAGACGAAAAGCTGCAGATAAGGAGTACGAGGACAATCTTGAATCCTCCGGTCTTTCATGAAAGGGGTTCAGAAACCCACGTTTTTAACCCAGGAAGCGAGACGAGGGTTTGAACGTACTGCAGGCAAAAGGGAAGCCCCGAGGCTCGGTATGAGAAGCAGATAGCCAGTAGTGTTTGGAAGTTTCGACAGCTTCGTTGTCCATGTTTGGTGAAAATTTTTTTTTTTTTTTTGGCGAATAAATCTCCTCTGTACTGCAGACAAATTTCGGTTGCCACTTGTCGTTCCTCTTCGGACCAACGTATTAAGCATCCAACGCTTGAAAGCTTGAGTGAGCTGGAGACTATGACTGAAGTGCATCTTGAATGCCCGAAAACCTTGAAAACATAGGTGAAAGTATTTAAAGGCCCTGGCTCCATATTTCATAGCAGACCCGATGCTCCAATAATGAATATAATTTCATCGTTTCGCGGTAGGATACAGTGAACTCGTGTAGATATGTCCTTGATGAAGCGCGAAGAAACTGCAGACTTAGGGTTGAAAAAAGAAAATCCCTCCTTCACCGCGCCTGGATGTGTTATTGGCCATAACCTGCTCAGCAATTCTGGAGTGAGGTGACCAGCGGCTGACGAGATTCCGGTATTCCAAAGTATGAGGCGGCACGTGCAGCTTAATCAGGCATGGACAATAAGGAAGAAATCAAGTAAACATGTTACAGTAGCCAAGCACTCGATAGCAAGGATGATGAATTGTTAAGGTGCCTGAGCCTCGTTAAGCAAGGTTGTCATGGAACAGATGCACAAGATCATCGGAAAAAGGCCGGCCCGTCACCAGCTGGCGCGCAAGCTAACCAATCAAATCGGACCCACCAAGCAAATTCCACCTTGCGCGAACTTTTTCGCTCCGCCCGCCCTCTTCTTGTTATTTTCTGCAACTAACCACCACCAGCAAATCTTCTCCCCATCGACTCCCAGATTCTCAACATCTCGAGTCAACAGCCAGGATGGGTACGTGAGAACTCTTTTCTCAATCAGCCTTTGTATGCAAGTGGACGATTGTTTTCTGAACGATCGTCTGCGAACTTGGGATGCTGCCAGCCCTTCTCCTCCGCCTCTCCATCATGATGGAGGCGGCAGGTAGAGAGGTTGGAATGAGAGATTTGAGGAGTTGACTTGTCGAAAGACGTCCTCTTTCAATTCTTGAGTGCTGCCAACCTTTTTATGAGCATACTTGAAGCAAAAGGCTGACGAGGAAACTCTTGTCTGTTTGCAGGTATCGATCTCGACCGCCACCACGTGCGCAGCACCCACCGCAAGGCGCCCAAGAGCGACAATGCCTACCTCAAGCTCCTGGTGAAGCTTTACCGCTTCCTGGCCCGTACGTTTTCAATCACCTTCAGTCTTCACTGCCTTGATAACTCGCAAGAATGCTGTTGTTCTGACCATCGTCTTCCATCCTATTAGGCCGCACCGACTCTGCCTTCAACAAGGTCATCCTGCGCCGCCTTTTTATGTCCCGCATGAACCGCCCTCCTGTCTCCCTGTCCCGCATCAACTCCAACATCAGCAAGGATGACAAGCGCACCGTCGTCATCGTCGGCACTGTCACCGATGACAACCGCCTGCTCGAGGTTCCCAAGGTGAACATCGCTGCTCTGCGCTTTACTGCCACCGCCCGTGCCCGTATCCTGGCTGCTGGTGGCTCTGCCCAGACTCTCGACCAGCTGGCCCTCGAGAAGCCCACTGGCGCCAACACCCTGCTGCTGCGCGGCCCCAAGAACGCCCGTGAGGCCGTCAAGCACTTCGGCATGGGTCCTCACAAGCACAAGGTACGCCTTCACAAGCTCTATTCGCAGGTTTGGAGACCATGTAGCAGGATGTGTATATCTGACAAATCCTACAGAAGCCCCACGTCCTCTCCAAGGGCCGCAAGTTCGAGCGTGCCCGTGGTCGCAGACGCTCTCGTGGTTTCAAGGTCTAAGGACTTCGTTTGTTTCGGTCTCTTGGGATTTGGTGGTTGTGGATCTGGTGGTCCTTACTCTGATGGCACGCCTGAAATGGTTTCCGTAGTCATGAGAATAACTATGGTCCTGTTGATGCATTCACGAGGGCGTTGTGGTGGCGCGGGCGTGAAACGGTTCTACCAAAAAGCTACTATCACTGAATTCAGGCTCCATTTCGCCCACCCTTGATGACGGAGTTGTGCTGTGTCCTTTACGTGATATGCGTAGTATTACCTGGTTCACCTCTCCGGGTCACGAAATGTCGCATCTCGCCTGTACCAGGTGGAACACACGAACACTTTTCTTCCAGCAACACAAAGGTCATCGGCCCTCTGAAGGCGTAATTGACCCCTCTTTGCAATGTTGACACAGACATTATACGCTTGTCATACGTGCAGCGCCCGTCGCGCAGCCTCCCAGGCGCTTTTGACCAAATTTCGTAGCGAAGCAAACTATGATGAGACCTGGTAGATCACGCTGTAGGCCATACTGGCGCGAGATCACCTCCCTTCAATCTTGGCAAGGGTGACGTCTCCTTTCCTCTTCAGTGCGACAAAGTAAGCCTCCTTGGAGTCCTGCGACAAAGTCAGCTCTTGAACACTCATCAACAGCTATTGTCATCTGAACTTCGTTACGTATGACGACACAGCCACGGAAGGTCGCGAATGACACCGCAAAGAGCATGTCGCTGCCTTACCTTGCGCGAGGACTCCGGTTTCTCCCTCTTGACCTGGTCAAACATCTTCTGGAGCTTGGACTGAAACAACTTGTCCTCGGCGCCCTGGTAGAACTTGCACACAAAGTGGCCGCCGTCTTTGAGGTTCTCCGAGGCAAAGGATAGGGCGGCGTAGCAGAGATCCTGATGTCGTCAGTTTGCCTGTGATCGGACCCCCGTAGCCACTCACTAAGGATGAAGTTTGGGGGGAGGGAAAGAAAGCAAGCAAGTAACAGCTTACCATACTCAGGACGTGGTCTCGAAAATTGATCCCGCTCGTGTTCATGAGCCTGTAGCGTCTACTCAGCGTGTTGCTCCTGAAACCGGTTGTCTGCATCCAGGGTTCGCACAAGTCGCTCATTACCACCTGTTTTCAATGTTAGCCGTCCATCTCTATTTCTCTCAGGCTGATCCTCAGAAAAATGAAGGGAAAAAGCATCGTGGGTGACAGCATGACGCAGGTCGTCAGCAAGCAATACTCACATCCACCATCCGCTCTTGATCGTCCACATCGGCCTCCGCAGCCTCAATATCATGGCTAGCCTGTTTCTCGAGATCAATGTAGCTCAGCCTGTCCTGCACAACCTCACCCTTACCGCCACCCCCGTCAGTTCTCGCCTCCCTCCCCTGGCCACCATCACCACCAGGACCCAAGCCTTCTGCACCTTCACCTTCGCCAGTGCCGGTGGCCGTCAACGCTTCAAACTTCTTCTCCATGTTCCTCTCCTTCCGCTTCCGCCTTACCTGCTCCAGAAGCACCTCCTTCAGCAGCCTCCGCACGTGCGGGCTGAGAAAGTTCCCCTGGATGCTCGTCACGCCGCGCGGCGGCTGTGCGGGGATCAGGTCGATGCCCACCACGACGCCATGCGGTTTCGTCCGCTCGATGGCGACTTGAGACCACGAGCCGGGCGCATACCCCAGATCGACAATGGTTTGGTTACGTCTAAAGAGGCGGTAGGCCGCGTCCATCTATGACCTCGTTACATATGTGAGCTCGTCGTAGCCAGCAGCGGAAAGGAAGTTTGTAGTTGTAGGCAGGAGATGTAGTTTGTGTGCGTGTGAGAGAGTGAGACGAGGAATCCGTGAAGAGCTGAATAGGACGGATAGACAGGCAAACGCACCTCGATCAATTTGTACGCGGCGCGGCTCTTCAGCCCTTGCACCTTGGCCGTACGCGCATACGGGTCGCGGGACTGGCGGGATTTCCACTGTGAATTTGATGATGAGCTCCGGATGGCTGATCGGGGCGTGAGCCTGCAGCCCAGGCACGTCCAGTTTGACGATGTTGGCGACCTTGTCGACACTACACGGCGGGCGGCGGCGTTTGGTGGTGCAATGAGCGTGAGACGGCTCAGCGCCGATGCCAGGAGCCTCTCACTGAGTAGGCCGCGGCAGGACTGGCCGCCCAATGCAGGCCGCATGAGGATGAAAGGAGGGTGCTTTGTCAAGTAGCGGTGTTCATAGCATCTAGCATAAAGAAGTAGACCATTGATGAAGTCGTATGTGTCGGACGGTAAGGCTGGAAGATGGTTTATGTCGTGTGCAGGCTATAACAAGAGAATGGAATGGTTGAGTGAAAAATCTCGGGTGCGACAAGGTCGAGCCGATGAAAATCTCCACTACCAACACCAGCAACTACAGCAGCCAGAATCGAATCAAGATTGCTTTTTTCGCAAACCACAAGAGGCACATCTTCAAATGAACAATCTGTTGACGCATAATGACAGATTTAGGAGAACATCTCCATCTTATGAGGATCTTCATTGGTCAAGTACTTCGAGTTCCTTTGCCCAACTTCATGCTGACCGTGACAGACTGACACCAAGGAATTTTTTGAGCACGTCGTAGAACGTGTTGCCAACTCACAGCATGTATATAGCAGAATGATCAATTCCGTATTGTCCAAGGGCGAGACTAAAGAACGTGTTTATCGGGTCCAGGGTCAAACATCCCACAAAACCTTTCGCCGTATTCCTGAAACCTCTGTTCCTGAACGCCATTGCATTTCTCCCATGGAAAAAGACAAAAGAGCAAAGCAATCATGAACACCAGGTCGATGCAGTAAATGCAAGTTCTCGACAGTTTAGCTGTCGCTGTCCACTACAACTTTCCCGGCTACAATGTGTACATCGCGCAGCGATCACAACCATGCAAGGTAAATCAAGCCAAAAAGCTGGCCCCCACGCCCCTTCGATCCTTCTTCAGCGGCGAAAACGACTTGCGCGGAAACGCTCCCCGCGCCAGAGAAGCCACCGGGCCTTTTCTCGCAGCCTTGATGCCCATGGGTTTCCGCTTGGTCGTGGCGGTCGCTACCGTAGGCACAGAGGGATCTGCCTCACCTGCGTCCTCATCCTTGTCGAATAGCGTCCCCTTGTTACTGGCCCCGAGGAGCTTGCGCTTCTTCTTCTTGGGCTCCGGGTTATGCGAACTGGCATTCGACGTGTCTGCAGAGCTGGTAACGGTCGGCAACGGCTTCTTACTAGCGTTCACATCCTCTGTCGAGGCATTTTCCTTCTCGGTTGCCTCCGTCTCTTCGGTAATCTTGTCGAGTGTGGAAGAGCTGCTTGTGGCAACAGGCTTGTTGGGCGATGCTTCCGCCAAGGCCGGCGCCTTGGGCCTACCGCGTGCTTTCTTCTGATCCGCTGCTGACGGCTTGGGCTTGCTTGCCTTGAGAGCCTTGGCCACTGATTTGGCGGGCTGCTTGTCAGCAATGAAGACTTCCTCCGCCAGCTCAGCCTCGGGCTCAATGATCGGCGCAGCCGGGTCGCCTTTGCCCTCGAGGATAGAAGGCTCTTCCGCCTCCTCTTCTATGGTCTCGCTCAGGGTGATAGTGTTCGATTTGTTGAGGAAGGGCGTGATGGAGAATGTAGACTTCTCGCCAAGCGTGGTGAGCTCAAGACCTGCTGCTCTCTTCTTAAGGGGGCGCTTCGTCTTTCCCTCCAGGTGGCCGGGAGTATCCAGCATCATGTCGTCCACGCTGATCTCGTTCACCCGCCGCTTCTTTCCGGCCTGTGCCTTGCTCAGGGGCTTCTTTGGCTCGTCGTCGGCCTTGATTGGCACATTCGTCGTTGTCGTGCGAGTTTGGGTCAGCTCGGCGCGGGCTTCCTTGAGCTCACCACGCGTCTCACGCAGTTTGCCCTTGAACTCCTCGATGCGCTGTGTCAGCATCTCGATCTGGTCTCGTGAAGCAGCAGCCTCCTTTTCGCTAATCCGCAGCGCCCGTTCAGCCTCCCGCCTCTCGGACGCCAGCTGCTGCTCCAGCTCCTTGACCCTTTCCTTGAGCTCGGTCTGGTCCTTTTTGTCATCGCTGTCCTGCGAGCGTTTGGCTTTTTGAGCTGCGCGCTTCTCATCGGCCAGCTTCTTCTCTAGGTCCACAACCTGCTGTCGAAGGTCCCCCTCGACATCGCTCTGCACTTTCTGATGCATCTTGTTGGCCTTGTCAGAAGCCTTCTGTTCATCTGCTAGCTTCTTCTCCAGATCGCCGACCTGCTGTCGCAGCTTGTCTTCTGCGCTGCTTTGTGCCTTGCTCTGGGTTTTATTAGCCTTCTCGGCGGCCCTCTGCTCTGTCGCGAGTTTTTCCTCCAACTCGGCCACGCGTAATCGGAGTTCGTCCTCGACTTCACGGTCCTGGCTACCGTTGCGCTGAAGTGCCTTTTGGGTTGCGCGCTTCTCGTTGGCAAGTTCAACTTCGAGAGTGTTGAGCTGGCGCTCGAGTGCCAGCTTCTCGGCCAGAACATCTTTTTGGTGGGATAGTTGGGAGCGCAGATGGTCGATCTCGGGTTTCAGTACGGCCAATTCGCGAGAGAGGGCGAGTTTCTCTGCTAGAGTTTTGGCCGTATTGTCGGACATATTGCTCGCACATAGTAATTCAGCCTACGAAGGGTCAGAAATGCCTCACTGGCTAGGACACGTCGGGTCGAGGTAAGTGTGTCGCACCTTTAGTTCTGACTGCTGTCGCGTTTGCGACCGCAGTTGCGCCTCCTGGCTGATGCATGTTTGGTTCATGTGATCAAGGTGGACGTATATCTCATCATATTTTTCTGACAGATGGCTGATCTGGCTGATTTTGTTCGTGAGCTGATCCCGTAACGCGGCCACCTCGTCCTGGAGGACCACAACGCGCAGCTTCAGGCGTCGCGCCTCCTCATCCTTGACCACGAGGTCTGTCTGATGCATGGTGTCTTGATAAGTCATGTCTAAGATGTGAATCTCTTGCATTCTCTGCTTGTGAGGAAGAGATTCTGTTAGCAGACATAGGGGCCAAGTGATTTTGTTGTTGTTGTGGTGACGTGCCTGTTCCTGGTCCATGTTTACATGGTCCGTTGCGACGCGACACTGTGCCACAGCCCGGATGCCCATATGTATTCGGAATTGGGAACAAATGTAAAAGTATACAGAGAGTAGTAGCGGCAGCGCCCGAGAGGAGGAGAAGCGATGATATCTTGTCGTCTCGAGAGTCAGGATTGGTTGAGTAGAGTGTATTGCCTAAGAAGCAGAGAAATGCGGGTGTGCGCTCGAGTTGGCAGGGACGGCAGACTGCGACGTTAGGTGCGGGAAAGACGCTCGGACCACAACAACATACTTCTAGATTGGGACTAGCGGGGAGTCCCACCCACGAAGAAGGGAGACAGGGGTTAGACCCTGAGCCGGATTGACGTATTAGCGTTGCGTGGCCCTAGCTCCAGACATTTGGCTTGAGGCCAGCTGTTGATGGAAGTCAACGACAACCACCATTTACAGTCAAGCACACCCCGTAACACCTCAGTCCCTCCTTTTATCACGACAACTGCCACCATCCTGCAGCTGGTGTTGTCAGTTGACAAAGAAGGTTGGTGCTCAATTGCACACATTCTCCTGTCCTTTTTGCCCTCCTCTGTCCTTTTTGGGAATTAATTCCCTTGCAATTCAAGATGCGCTGGTCCTCAGTCTTCCTCCCCTTCTCCCTCCTCTTTTCTGGCATCCTAGCCAAGCAAGACAGTGGACGGTTCGCGGAATTCCACACTAAGGCCCTAGCCTCTTCTCCCATCAAGTTCAACGATGCCTCCTACAAAGAGATCACTGCTGCGCCACGCGACTATTCCTTTGCAGTTCTCTTGACTGCCATCGACCCTCGCTTTGGTTGTCAGATGTGCCGTGAATTCGGCCCAGAGTGGGACCTGCTCAGCAGCTCTTGGACCAAAGGTGACAAGGCTGGCGAGTCAAAGGTCATATTTGGTACACTGGACTTCAATGATGGCCGAGAGACCTTCATGTCGGTAAGTCAATGATCACAAGCTCCATTGCTCTTCTCAGGATCAGGGGGCTAATACAAGTTCCCACTACAGCTCGGCCTCCAGACAGCTCCTGTCCTCCTCTACTTCCAACCTACTGTCGGCGAATTTGCGGTCTCCCGATCCGATCCTCTGCGCTTCGACTTCTCCTCTGGGTTCGTGATCCTACTCATATACCTTCAGGCCTTCTTCAATAATTTCTGACAAACAAAACAGGCAGCCTTCTGCTGAATCTGTTCATGACTGGATTGTTCGCCATACTCCTGGTCGTCCCCATCCTGAGTTCAAGAGACCCACCAACTACTTCGGAGCAATTGTTTCAATTGTTGTCCTCACTTTCTTGGCAACACTGGCTTATGTTATCTGGCCATTGGTCAATGAATACCTCTTCAACCGCAAGGTCATGATGCTCCTGAGCCTTTCCTTCATCCTCCTGCAGGTGGGCGGCTTCATGTACAACAACATCCGAAATACCCCCTACGTCGGACAGGACGGCCGCGGCCACATCTCATACTTTGCCGGAGGTTTCCAGAGCCAGTTTGGGATGGAGTCTCAGATTATCTCGACCCTGTGTAGGCTATCCTTGACTCTCTCTTGTTCTCTTGGCCTATCTAACATGCTGCCACACAGACGGGTTCCTCGCACTCACAGCCATTGTGCTGGGCGATAGAATTCCCCGCTATGCGTCCAAGAACTTGCAACAGGTCGCTGTCATCACCACTGGCGTTTGCATGCTACTGATCTACAGCTTTCTTCTCAGCATCTTCCGCATGAAGAATGGCGGTTACCCATTCTCGCTTCCGCCTTTCCTGTGAGGTCAGTGAGGTGAAGAAAAAGACTTGCATCAGACGAGACATGCGCTCAAATCATTGCAGTCGAGTTGCGGCCTGGGAAAAGAGAAACTTCTGGAGCATTGTCGTTCCTTGTCACTGCGGCTGCTGCGGCTGGATGTACGACCTTTCATAGAGTCGTTTTACTCATTCTAGCATATGCCAAACAATGTCACTGTACAATAGGGGGATAGAGTTCGTGTATGGACATGGCGATATAAAAGTTTATCACAATTTGCTTATAAGGCTAGCCATGTTTGCGTTGTGCCTTCCCCCCCCCCCCCCTCCAACAACCCAAAACAAAAATGAATGTGCCTTGTCCAGCTGCTCTGTGCATGCGTTACATCAGTGCATGACCAGTACGCTTCTGTATGTTAAGAACCTTCAGATTGTGGTGCAGGTGCACGCAGGGTCATAAGTCTGTACGCAGCAGCAACGCCCGGTAACTTGGACTGTCATTGTTGAGCTCAACCGCCCGAGATCGATAACAATCACACCTTACTGTGCCTTGCTAACATGGGCAACAACCTCAATTCATTCTGGGGCTGAGGCTGATTGTTGCGATCCTGTTCCACTCGCTCGCTTTTAACATGAAGATTGTGACCTCGACTGTACGTCTTCGCCCAGCAATATCGCGCCTACGCAACCTCGAAACCATGAAATTATAGGACTATCCTCCTCAGGGATTAGATTGACAAATTGTGTTTTATCAAAAAAAAAAAAAAAAACCAATATTGTGTGAAAAGGCCCGAATTGGTGTTTATAGTAACAGATGATGATTGTAGTAACACTTTGATGAGCTAGGGCAACAAGAGCAAAAGCGAGAGGGCAATAATAGATAAAAACAGAGTGAAAAAAGAAGTGGAGTTGGGAACCATGGACAGAATTACATGGGCATGAGAGGATTGATTGATGATCAAAGGCACATCACGACAGAGATCGCTCAGAATCGGTTTCAAAATCAAACACATGCAGTGTACGTATGCCGAGTGGTGTTATCAATTGAATAGCATCATATTCTGGCCAGCTTCTCGCGAGATACGACCTTATCATGTGATTTACCCGGAACACTATATAGATTAAAAACGCTGATCGATGGGTCTTTTTACGTATGTTTGAGTTTATGCTAAGTGGAGGTAATCTCTTCTGAGCATCGCTGTGTGTCCTGTGCTTTGAACAACACAGAGTTGGTAACGGTTTGCCCTCCATCAATCTACTTTAGGAAGCCGCATCAAACAAGTCTGAACCATGAAGAAATCTGCTCATACAATAAGGATTCTATAGGATCACTCAGCTTAGCCTCGGTGATCCGTCGTCATCATCGCCCGGGCCTTTCCCAAACACAGGGCGAAGACAGTCACACCGCATCGAATTTGAGTCTGACGAGGCTGACTTTTCCGAGGCGGATAAAACAGAAGGAAGGCCAGGGTATAACACAATAATATGGGAGAATAGTATGCAATTGACGAATTCGTTTCCCCGTATGATCACGTTCCGAGGTTGTTGGACGTGCCGAGTGCCGCATGCCACCAACCCAGCAGAAGAGGTAAAGTCATGAGGACATCCCAGCCAAGCAAGATCACGCCTGCGTTGCAAATATACATCAGATGTTTGAGGTTACAGTTGGCCATCACGCAGGGCTGAGGTGCTCAGAGTAGGACGTGTGATCAGACCAGACAGGGTACGGCATGGTCCTTATTCGTCCGAGCCCCTGATCGCGCACCCGCAACCGTTGGTGATTATGAGCAGGAAGCATACATGTTTCCACAGGGAGGCAGATATCATAGAAACAAGATTCCAAACCAGACCGCCCTGTTCTTTGGTTTCTCAATTGTGGAAGTCCACACACAAGCTCAGCCGCTCAACCTTTGGATACAACTTGCAGGTCTCCATTTAAGCCAAGCCTCAGGTGTCGTCCCAAGATCATCCAGAAAAAGAAACCCCCACGATGGTGTACACTGAACTATTTTCTTGGGACACTTGGTTGCCTTAGGTTAACAACATCGATCATCAGGAGACGAACGACGTACAGCTAGCAGTCCTTCAGCCACAATGCGTCATCAACTTTCACTGTCGCGCGGGAGAGATCCTGCTGCTACGCCCTCCAAAACGCCGCGGAACTTGCGTTGACGATGATCTCTCACACCACATTGAATGCAAGTCACATGAAGCTATTGAAGCTACAGCCTCGCCTAGAGAATATCGGCCCTTATGAGACGGCACCGCTGCAACGAGCAATGTCGAGAGCCAGTCAAATTTGAGATCAAGGAAAGCCTTAACGCTACGCAAGCAGAGAAGTGACGAGAGGAACGGGCAGCCCTCACGAATGAGCGTAGATCGTCGAACTTAAGGGGGCCTCTCATGTGATCAGGTGGTGGCTACTAGTGGGCCATGAAAAAGCAAGGAGAGAGGATTCAGCTTGCCGCGGTCGAAGGCTAATATAATCAAGTTGCGTATCTGGAAGGGGACTGCTCGCAGGCTACACAGCGGGACATAGGGAGATAGACGTCCTCACTTCTGATGTCGATCAACCCCCCAAATTGGCACTAAGAAGCTGAGGATTGATATAGGTATGGCAAGGATGTTTCCAATAGACATATTGAGGAATCTTCGAGTGATCGGCCGCCCCCAGGAGGTCGATCGCGGTCCTAGCCATCACTCTGGTCGCCTTACCAAGGTAGGAGATTAGAGTCCCGAGAGCATGTACATGGGGCAGAAACAGTAAAGATTGCTTGATAATTTTAGTGCGTTCCGGAGAGCTCGTCTTCTGTCAATTCTATATTTATTAGGTCAACTCCGAGAATCGATAGACCAAATACGAATTGGGTACGGCTGAGGTCGTGGCTTGATTTACAAGCCCGAAAGCCTTGATGATTCACCGTTGGAAGCGGATGGGAAGCTGACAGTGCATATTCATCTGATAGCACATTGTAGATGGCCTTATTCATAAATTTCCTCTTGCTCTTATGGCTGAGAGATTGAAGGACGAGCGGGGAATAGTTGCTGCGTATCGGATACGCTGCATTATTATGACAAGACCTCGTAACAACCTCAATGTTGCTTTCAAAATGGGACCGCAGTACTGTAGCAATCGGAGTTTTGATTATGAAGACGAAGATAGTGGAATTGAAGGGACCTGCGCCAGGCTTCACCTAGGCTGGTCGGTGCTCCGAAAATGAGGCGAAAAAAACGAGGCGGATCAATGAGTGCCAATCAGCAGGGGTTTGTACGAACCACCTGCTGCCATGGATACCTCTCGACTTTCGGAAAATATGCAGTTCTCAGCGAATACCTGTAGCGACGCAGGTCCGCATTCGCTCTTACTTGTTGGTCACGTAGCGGTGAAAGAATTTCCAAGGCGAGCGTCTAGCAAATAAAGTACTTCGTGCATACATAATTTAAAGTCAGCAGCTGACTGCAAGAGGTTACACGACAGCGATTTGCAAAAGTAGAGACCCGGTTTTTTTTGCCTGGTCTATGGTATCAAGACAGAATCGCTTCAAGCCTGGAGGAGCAGGTAGGAAGGAAGCGAGACACATATAAATATGAACGACTTACAGACGCCCTCGGATCGCCATGCTCATGACCAAAATCTTGCGCAGTCACGCCTCGAAAACCCTCATCCAACCCGGTCCTTGTCCAAATTTCTTGCAATTTGAAGCGTTGACGCGATGTCGTACTCATCAACCCCGATGAACAAATACTGGATTCCGTCGCAAGAAATCCATAAAAAAGTCATTACGCAGGATCTTCAATATTACCTCGGGCCTCAGGCAACGGTGCGCCCTTTCACCCGCGAGGTGTGTCCATATTCGTGCCTGACACTTGCTCAAAGACGTCCCTGACCAGGTTCTCAACCCTAGGGGGAGGATGGCTTCCTCATCACCACACCTGGCCCTTGTTTATCAGATGTGAGCTTCGCTCGACCCGAGCCGAGTCATCCTCGTTAACGTAGGTGCTCAGGAACAAATCAACGACATCTGCGAAAAGTCTCGTGACGTGTGGGCGTCGAAAGCGGCGGCCCGGGCCACCGAGCCCTCGGATAAGGCACTAAAGCGGCCACTTCACCAGCCTGTGGTCATTGAGAAGGCCGGGTCATATGGTTCGTCGAAACACAGGAGGTAATAGCAAATCTCCAAGCTCAGGCCGTGGTCTCAACCAAGGAAGATCCCAAGCCATCCTCGATGCTTCAAGGCAACCAGGTTCCTGGCGTGTATAGGGCTTGCACGGAAAGGTGTATGGAGTTCAGCCAACCCTCTTGGTGCAAAAACCCGACGGTGGTGGTCCAAATGAGTCGAGAACCATAATGTTTCAATGAGAAACATGGCTGTCGGGAAACGGGGTGATGTCGTGGAGCCAGCAAAAGGCGGCCATCTGGCATGGGCCGCTTCAGCCAATAGCGGCTGCATCCATCCAATGTTGTGTGTTGCGCTGCAGCTAGAAAGAAAATTCTGGACCTGCAAGGCGAACTTGCAGCGAATAGTCGGGAGGCTTCTTTGATCCTATTTGCAGTGGCCACTATTCGCTGCCGTCCATCCGTGACACTGCATCTGCGTCATGCACACAATTGACGACTAACGAGCGTCGCGTGATGAACGCCCTGCGTGAAATGGCTCTCAAAAAGAGCGGATATTTGCGGCCCCACGCCATGCAGCGCAACCTTCTTGGCTGGGAAACTTCTGATGGCTATGATCGGAAGACCTGGCCAGGCTGGCGCGAAGCTCGGCAGCAACAGTGAACCATTCATACCAAGAGGTCTCATCAATGGGCGTGGGTACATTGCTGCCATCGTGTTCCAGCCAATACCTTCTTTTTGCGGACCCCTCGGCCCTTTCGTAACCCCCAAGCTCTGAACGATGACAACAGTGTGTCGAAGAGTCGACCCGATGTTCTCAACAAATCTTTCATCCGTTTCGGGCCCGCAAGAATCGCTCTTAAGCCGACCTTGGCTTCTGACGCTTCGCCTGAGGTTCGCTTGCCGTTGCCATGTCGCCCAGGCAGGTTTCATACCGTCCGACGTCCAAAGGCCCGGCAGACCATAGCATAAGGGCCTGCACTTGGACAGTGGGGACTTCCCTCTTGCGTTTGGAATGCTTTTTTGAGGAGTCCGGCGGTGCTGAAGCAATGTAACCAATCACATTCACCCACTGGCCGACTGATGTCTGCTCGCTGGTGAGCTTCTCCAGGACCAGACGAACGTCCACCGATGCCTTGACTTCAGGGCACTTGGGATAGCTGTATTGTAGAATCAATGTCCCGGATGCAATCGAGTATGAGGCCACGCTGAAACTGAGTTAGCCAGAGCGTTCATCGCCTAGGTCCCAAGACCTTTGGCGGCGGGACAGGTGCTTGAAAACCGCGATGCCGGAGACACTATCTCTAAGATGAGAGGCTGACATACCATCCTAGGAAACGAACCTTGTCGCCAAACCCACAAGATGGCAGAGATGACAAGAGAGTCAGCTTGGAAGGCACAGGACCAAGAGACATTATCAACGTCCCCACATGATAAGACTGGCGAACGACTTTAATTTGCATTCCACATCCATGATAGGGACCAAGTCAAGAGTGATAAGAGACTGATGAGAATTCAAGAAATGAGAAGAGTAAAAGTCATGGAGATGTATACCGGAATGGGGCGCTCTGTCGCACGCAGAACTGCGGCGCTGGTGATGTATTTGTTTGTTGGTGAAGTCGTCTTCACAGGCTAGTGAAGCCCAGCGACTGCCTGCAGCCCTCACTGAATCGCAGTTCAGAGCTGGACTCAGTCTCAGAGCGCGTCTGCTGACAGGGGTGTCAGACGCACGGACCCAGTTGACGGCCCTCTTTTGGGTTGGGCCTAGCGCGTGGTGGACATCACCCGGCCAGGTGCAAGGCCTGGACAAGTGACGAATTAAGCTTGCATCATATCTCGACAGCCAAGGCTTCCACCAGCATCTCGCTAATTCACTCGGCTGCCTTGCGATCAACGTTGAAGACGCTGACGAAGAAAGAATTTCACGTTACCTCTCTCCCTCTGACCCAACAGAAACCATACGAACACTCTCGAGCACAAGACGCTACATCGTTGCCGTCCGTCGGGCTTCTTATTGTCATTGTGCAAATACCCCGCCGTTATCAGCCGAAGAGCCCAACGCAAGGCCACCTGCCACGAGATCCTTTTATATCCCATCTCGAGCCACGCGATAAGCATATGAGATTATAGATTTCTTATCTCTCGACATCTCCGCGAAATCAGCCTCCTTTTGTGCACACTCGATACCGAACACAAGATGTCTGGCTGGGGCATGGGATGGTTTGGCGGCGGCTCTGCCCAGGCAAAGAAGAATGCGCCTAAGAACGCCATCCTGGGGCTGCGCTCCCAGCTGGACATGCTTCAGAAGCGCGAGAAGCATCTGCGGAACCAGATGGATGAGCAGACCGCACTGGCCCGGAAATATGTCAGCTCGAATAACAATAATGGTGAGTGTCTGTACCAGCATCATGAGCCCCCGCCCCTCCCTTCTCCCCGCCGAAATCTCCGTGGTTAGGTGCTGGCATGCGCATGCTGACCCGAGTTTTTGCAATCACAACAGCCGCCAAAGCAGCCCTGAAGCGGAAGAAGGCACACGAACATAGCCTTGAGCAGACCGAAGCGCAGATCGGGACCCTGGAACAGCAAATAAACGCGATCGAGTCGGCCAACATCAACAAGGAGACGCTACTTGCGATGGAGAAAGCTAGCGATGCCATGAAGCAGATACACGGCAAACTCACGCCTGAGAAGGTGGACGAGACTATGTATGCTAAGATACCCTTCTCCTTGAGGGCCCACCGTTGGCTTCGTTACACACGGAAAATGACTAATCATGCTCTTTTCTTTCTAGGGACAAATTACGGGAGCAGAACGCGCTCAGCGAGGAGATTGTCAACGCCATTACGGGCAACACGATTGGAGAGACTATGGACGATGATGAGTTGGAAGCAGAACTGGATCAACTGCAGCAAGAGCAGCTGGACGAGCAGATGCTCAAGACCGGGTCTGTTCCGGTATCAGATCAGATCAACCGCACACCTGCTGTGCCTGCAGGAGACAGTACGTTGCTCTCTCGAAGCCTCGGCTTTACCTACTCCTACTGACACTACTCAACAGTCAAGGGCAAGACGCCTGTCGCGGCCGAAGACGACGAAGAGGAAGAGCTGCGCAAGCTGCAGGCCGAGATGGCCATGTAATCCCGAAGCGGCGGACTCGCGATGGTATCGATCTTGGACCGTCACAATCTGTTCGCATGACAAAGACAGAAGCAGGCTCTGAAATACGGGGAACGGATAGATTTCTCGATAGGATACGCCGAGACGTGACTTCCTCAGCTGGCCTCCTTGTGGTACTGGCGTTGGCGTCCGAAGGCTGCATTTTCACGTGCAATGAGAGAGCGGGCGGGTGAAACGCCGCGCAGCATGCTGCCTTACACACATATTTCGGATATCACTTCCAGTTCCTGCAGCCTCCCCTCCCCTCCATTTTGCTTAGCCTTCGCACCTCCATCTCCCCACTACCCGGAGGTCTCGGGCATCTTCTTTTTTGTGCGTACAGGATGATCAGGCATGGGCAGGCATCGGTGGTTTAACGTAGATATGGATGAATATTAGTAGCGATCTGCTTTATACCATAGTATTGCTTCGGCGACATTGTCGAACAGGTCAACTTTGATGGGCAGCCGCTTAGCAATAGTCCCCGAAGGTCGATCCAGACATTGACCCGTCTTTGTCGTGGCTCATGGCCGAGGTTAAGCAGATCATCCAGACCGCCCTTTGATCTTGATGCTGGATGAAGTTCACAGTGGGTCGTTGGGGGGGGGGGTGGCATCCACTGTCCGATCACCCCACCTTCTCTCATGCTATTGACGCCCATAGAAAGAGCCCGGCGTGCACTGTTGTGTGACGGTAAACCTTAGAGGGGAGAAGAGATTGTTATTAAGGTTGAACGTTGCAAGAAGAGATGAGTTCGGTCATGTGGTTTATGCGTTTGCCTGTCCAGCAAGGCATGTCTAATATCATCATGACTACCGCCCATGCTGACCCTAGGCTTGTTTGAGATAAAAGTTGTTGGTACAAGGCTAGTGCACCAGATTTGGTTGCATAGCCTTGTATCGAGTACTTGGAGCCTGCTTGCTATAACTACACAGTATTATGGTACCTAACACCTGCCAAAGCAGATATAGAACCACTAAATTTTTCTTTTCTTTCCTTTTCAATCTCCACCGCACCTCCTGCCCTTCTCCTGGCTTCCACAAATATTTGTCTGATATGAATCGTTAACAATCTTACGTTAAATTGGTGTCCTTCCGACCTGGCGGCTGAGATGTCTCTCAAAAAAAAAAAAAAAAAAAAAAAAGGGTCTGACTGGCGAGACGCATGATGGCCGCCACGTCTAGCTGGTGGCTTGACTCCGGGGGACTTCGTCCAAAGTTTGTCTCAATTGTACCCTGAACACGCCCTCCACAGCCTCGACTAGTAGATGGAGCCTATAAAGGGTTCCCCAGAAGCATGAAAACTTTCGTGGGGGGCCATATTCCTAACGTACTCTGGATATCACATTCAATATCGCCCCACGCAACAAGAGCACAGTACATGCGATCCGATGCGACCGAGCATTGAACGAGCATGGCATCACCCTCGAAGGTGATGACTGGAACGATCTTCATCTTCTTGACCCCCTTTAGCGCCCGTTTCTCTCTTGGTCTCTCTCGTGTGTGTGTGTGTGTGTGTGTGTGTGTGGTCAGCTCTGGTCGGTTCCTCGAATGCAAAGCAAGGTAAGCAACCGGGGTCAGCAGAAGCGACAGCGGCGCTGAGGAGCCACGTAGCCCGCATGGGAAGAATGTACCAACAGCAGCTTGGTACTCCGCACCCTGTACTGCGACAGCAACACACACACATGCATGCAGTCTGCAGCACGACATTGGGTTCTTGCTCCCAATCGAGCGGGCTGCAGCAATTCTTCTCATACCTTAGTGGTCCGGCAGAAGCAGTCCCTCTCTCGCGAGCGCGCGCTCGCATAACCTACGACGAGACTATGAGCCTAAAGAAGCACAAACAAGGCTTTGGGTTTTCGTGCTTGACGCCATACCACCGCAGCTCAACAAAAAGCAAGCTGCATATGTCTGTACAGCACAGCACAGGAGGAAGTCTTCACATCATGCCAATACAGGGCTGTCCATGCCATGCCAGTTGCCAGACTTAAGCTGGTCTGCATGGTTCTTTTCGGCCTGATCCATACTATACCCTCAGATGCGCCCCGTCCCTTGGCTAGCGGGATGCTGTATGCACCAGCGACGTTATGGTTCGACCTGTATTGCTCCTACATAGTACGATGGTATGATATGGCTGTCTGTGGTCGTTATTCGGCACTCTGGTCATGGGGTGCTGTTGCTGCAGCCAGTTTTGATACCCCAACCCTTTGAACAGGAGTGCATGCTGAGTATGTACCACTGTGATATGTACTATGGAACTTGTCGGGCCTGCCCTCTGGTTGTGTGTGCCGAGCCGCCAGACCTCGCACCCCCGTCCCGGCACGCTTTGTTTCCACGTTTCAGTGCATCTTGCTAGTCATTCGTTGATCTTTCTCATTTTGGGTGTCACTTATATGGCTTCCAAGCATTGATTTGCTCTGCTTTTCTGTCCCTGTCGCCTTAGACCTGCCGTGCCGTGGTCGCTCTCAACGTGGCTCCTGTCCTTTGTCACAGTTTGTAGTGCTGAAGCCACCAGTCGATCCACATCGACAGGCTGGTCACTGTGGTCACTGGAAGACAAGCTTTGCCCATTGGCATGGATGGATCTGAGGAATTTTTCTCAAAAGTGGACACCGCGGTAATCAGAGCGTGGGGCGTCAAGCCCAAGGAAAAGAAAGCCACACAGTTTTCTTTCCCCTCGTTCTCTTCTTTCTCGCGCGCGTCTTCTTTCCCCGTATTTGTGAATTTTGTCCCACTGTGATCATGGATGATGATTGATATCGTGACAGGGGTGCCAGTGCTTGTTCATTGGTGATAGTCTGTTGTTCATGTGGGGTGTCGCCAAAGTGGACGTCGTTGCGTTTCTGTTGCTGGGACACCCTTCCCACACACAGGACCGCAACTTCCAAATTTTCAAACGGCATGTTTGCCTTCTTCAGAATCATTTTTTCCCACGCCTTGACTTGCGTACCAAGCTTGTACTGACTGATTTCGAATCCCGACATACATACCTCTTGTTTATACCCCAAGCTTGAGCACGCTTTCTGATCTTAGGCGGCTCCAACTTATCCATATATTGCCTGAATTCTGCTGGTGGTTTCTTTTGGAGGGAAAAATAATAATAAAACCGGTTGGGTCACTTCGCGCCTTTTCCTTCTTGGTGTTGGACATCAACAGGCGCCCTGTCTCTGTTTGTTTCTGATCGCTACATCTTGCTTATACCCAAGTAGGTCCAGTAGCTTCCTAATTCTTACTCCTGCGTGCCACGACATCACACACACC